AATTATCCGGCCAGCTAAGTGAGAGGCATGCGTTCAATCTTGTCGAAGCGCCAACAACAGTACGGTCCTTAATCGACACAGATGGGGATAAGTCCACACCCAAGACCTCCATGCCTGTTGCTTCCCTATCGATCTCCCGTCCGGTCTCAATTTACTTTTACCTCATGGTTACATTCCACGATAGCGAGATATAGCCAACCGTGCTCGGTATCCACCTATATCTCGCGGTGACAGGACATCACCCGACTTCTACCGGTCTAAGCATGGCTAAGCATATATATATTCGATCCACGGACCTATACCGGTTAAAGGTGTAATATCCGGACAAGGAATGCACATGCATCAAGTGGTTTCATTCAACTCTTATAACCTAATGCATCAATCATAAATACGTAAGTAAACATTTGTAAATTCTGGGAGACTTATAATGCTCGGGCTTGCCTCGCAGAAAGGAAGTAGGACGGTGGTCGGGGCACTCAGGAAGCTCTTGAGGTTACGCTCCACGCCCGGGAGCTACGACTTGCGGATCCTCCTGCGGGTTCCTTCCTCTCGCTTCTTGAATTCCAACAACGTGATCTCTTCCTCCGATCCTAGATGCATGAGTATGGTATAAGTATTACGAATGCATATATGTTAACAAGTGCATCACGTTGTTTGAGTAGGTGCATATCTCTTCTCGCTTACTACTTAACTACTTCTACAAAGCATCGACTATGCCATAAACAATATCTACTTGTTTCGCTCATAACTGGAGTTCTACAAATCCAAATCCAGTGATCCTGGACTTTCTGGAAATCTTATCAAATTTTCTACAACTTTGTTATTAACCATTTTTACAGTACACATCAGTTTCAACATGCAAATCCTCACACTCTAGAATCAGTCCGGAAATGACTTAACATGCAACATAAAGTAAGAATACTTCTACTTCAGGTAATCATTCAAAATTTGACAACCTAGAACTTACCAATAGTTTAAACATACCAAATACAGTTAAGATGATATAATGGTAAAGCCCAAACTATTTATTAAATTGCCTTTATTATTTTATTTAGATACCTAGGTTAAATAATAAATATATATCAGATGTGCTTAATAAATTCTCAAAAATTTACAGAGCTTTACTAATGCTATCAAGAGACTACTATAAAAAATTTCATGTCATTTTACCAAGTAGAACATTCTATATACGAAAATGACAAGGCAGCAAGGCTTGAAATAGCATAAATGGAAAACCCTATTGAAAAGTGTCAAGCAACAGATTTCATATTTTTCTTAGCATCCATATGGTACTAGGATTACCTCCAATAAATTTCATGAATTTTGGACTCATACTTAATTTATGAAAATTCATGCAAGGATTAACTAGTCATAAAAGAAAAATCTCTAACTTTAAATCTACCCATGCACTGGTCCTCAAATTTTTACCAGAGTTCACACATGCTAAGATTAGTCCACCACAAAAATTTCATAATTTTTGGAGCACAGGAACTCTAGATATAAAATAAACAAATTTGAATGCATTCAAAAGCACATTTGAAATCCCTATTTAAATCTCCAGAAATTTCTACTGTTGAAACCAAGAACATATTTTTCCAAAATACTACACTTCCTAAGCAACACAATCATATTTATTTCACCATTTTAGGAGCTACCAAACTAAAGATACAAAAATAACAAAACAAATCAAAAGCTGGATTCAAAATGAGTTAGCCTACACACTTACATTGCCGACAGGTGGGACCCGCTGGTCAGGGGACCCCACGCGTCAGTGACACGGCTTGAGGGCAGCAGGCGGCTGCTGGTGGCAGTCGCTGGCGTGAGCTTCGCCAGCGGCGAACTCGCCGGCGGTGACATCATCACACGATGATCTACTCGACTTCAGCGCGATCGATTGAGCTACTTGGGTGGCTTTCTCATCGAGAGCTAAGCGGCTCTGGCGGGCGTGCCATGGCGGGTGGAGGTGCGGTCGACGGTGAAACGCCGGTGTGGGCTACGGTGGTTCAAATCAACGCGTGGACAAGCATCTATGAACGCCGAGGGACCTAGCGCGCTAGCTACCGGAGCGGGAGAATCTTGTGGCGGCGTGGCCACGACGACGGGGCTCACGGCGGAACTCATGCGAGCCTACACACGCCACGCTGCGGTGGCTTACGGGCTTTGTCGGCCGAACACGCAGGGAGAAACAATGGGGTCTTTGGGAGACGGTGGAGCTATCACGGTGGCGAAGGAGCAGCGAGGACGAGTGGTGGTGACGGCTATGGCGACGGCGGAGGTGCGGGCCGAGCTTCGGTCGTCATTGGGCGAGGAAGACGGAGTAGAAAATGGGAAATGAAGCGCGGGCGACTTCGAGGCGAAGCATTTGGCGGGGTTAAGCGGCGCTTCGGGCGCGGCGTGGCTCTGCTGCGGTCGGGCGCTGGCGGCAGCGTGGCCGTCGCCGGGAGACACGGCGCGCGCAAACTCGTTCGATCGCCATCAAGAAGAGCAGGCGTTTGATTCGTCGATCGTTCGATGGTCGCTGACAGTAGCGTTTTCTCGTTGATTTACCGGCTAAACGGTGGCTCCTTCGTGCAAACTTCTTGAATAGAAGTTGTAGAACCATGTACCATCTCCAACTCTTGTTAAGGCAGCATACTCTAATTCGCAACCTAAACCGAGTAAAATCATGCTCAAAGTAGGCTTGTCAGTGATGAGGTTTCACGACTTAGCAAATTTCGTTAAGTGTTGAAATCGAGATTTTGATGATTCTTGTGATCCAATTTCAAACATGTTAGGAGCTGAATCATGTGATGACCCAAAAATAAAAGTTGTTCCTTATGTCAAACACTACAACATTGCTTTAGTGAACTCCTCCATGCAAGGTCTCTAACACCTAGTTCAACTTTAGTCAAACATGTCACTTTGAAATCATGATACATACACAAACCAGGGCTAAATGACCAAACTAGCCTTAGCACTAAATACCAAAGTTGTTCCTAATGATATCCTAAGCATGTTTAAACAATTTGCAAGGTCATTTAAGCATTTCATGTAGTAGTCACTCATATAGCTATTCAGGTCAACACATGAAATATCACTTAAGTGCTTGATCATGAAATGTAGCCTTCATGAACAATGTTTCTTTTGTTAACCTAAGTGTAGCTAAAGTGTTATAGTGACCAACATTACACACTAGCATTTATTTGCACATGATCATATGCATATGTTCCAAGAAATACGAGATAACAAGCAATGTTTCATATGTTTCGATCGAATGTTTCAATTGTAAATGATGATTTATGAATGCTTGATGCTCATGCTTATGTTATGCAAGTCAAGTTACGCAAGGCTAACACCCGAGGTGTTACAGTGATGGTCTCAATCAAATAGTCAAATTGGTTTTATAGGAGAAAATAAATTAAAGTCACCGTTGCTCCATATCTTTTGATTACCGATGACTTGGATACCAGGGCGGATATGCACCCGTCTAGCCCTAAATAAAGTGACACTACTACTCATTTTTCTCACACAACGGTTCATAAAAACTCTAGCCTATAAGCTGCCCAGCCGCCTGTTTAGACTTAGAGCCTTCAATTATTTAGCCTCCTTCTTACTTCGTTTTTGGATCCACCATCGTAATAGGTCAATTACCAATTTCGCAAATCACGACATGTAACCACCACGCAAAAGCGGCTAAGGTCTCATGCTACATGAACTCGAGAACCCATAGTGTGTTAGCAGTAGGGTAGCAGAGGTAGGCAAACAAGTATTATGGATTGGGGAAGTAGCAACCAGAGCATGAAGATCTAGAGGAGGAGGAGGAAGATGAGAAGAGGGGAAGGATGATTACGAAGGAAAGATGAGACCTGTTCGGGTTTCACAAGGATCATCGATACCTTCTACTCTAACGCAGTTGCCTATTTTATAGTGTTGTTGTTTAGTTGTTTAGGCCACTCGACTTATTGTACAACTCCAACTCATGGCTTAAATGATTCTGACATGTGGGCATATCAAACCTAACATTGGTTGGATGCGCGCTTATGCCGCCATCATCAAAGTATCTCTTGGATGGCCTGATGATTACTCCATTAGTGAGTTGCATAAAGCATTCTTGAGTACTTCTCCTTTGTACTTAGCACTACACTAAACGATGATGGCGAACTTCGCAAGGCTCAATAGACCATATATGCTTCTTCTTTTTTATGAAGACCGTATATGCTTCTTACGATGAAGTTTTTTTTTACCAAACCATAATACAGATATAGACAAACATACGTGCACATACATACATCCTATGCCTATGAGCACCTCCTAAAGGCTAAGACTCGTTGTCGATGGATACATCACCTACCAGGCTACCACCAAAAAGACAATACCATTAACTCCTATAATAATTTTAGAAAAATACAGCATGTCAAGTTGAGGAGTTTAAGTCATAGATTTATTTTGGATGATCGTATTTTCTTGAATTCTTTTTTATATTAATATTATACTACACTGAAAAGGCACTAAGCTGCTAGGCCACACTAGCTGCCGTGCAACTGAAAATGACACCGAGCATAAGAGCGACACGAAGGATAAGTGTTAACGAACAATTTGCTACTTTAAGCAACACTCTGCCGGAGAAGCTCCTCCTCCAGACTCCGGTCTCCACTGTCCACTTCTCCAGCCCCGGAAATATCTTGCTCTGTCTCTTTTCTGTTCTTCCACGTGATCACTCTGCTTCTGAACTTTCCGGAAGGTACCAGAACCATCTTTCTTCGCACGGGCCCAGTCGACTCTCGCTTCGTAGCCGTTGGCAGGCACCCAAAATATCTCGCGCAAAAATATCTCACCCGAGCGAGGACACGGCCGTAAATATCTCTCGAGCACGGGCCGGCCGCCTGCGCCTCTCTCACTTGCTCAGCGTCAGCGCTCGCTCGGGTCGGGACGTCGGGTGCCTGCCGTGCTGTGCCCCCCGCCGCTTTTGGGCCGCGCTTTTCAATTCAATTCCGCAGCGGCAAAGAGCAGCCGATCCAGCAATGGCCACGGGCGGGGAGAAGCGGGCGGCGCTGCTGCGGCAGATAACGGAGGAGGGCGGGTTCGCGTTCGTGGCCTCCGCGGAGAAGGCGGCCGCGGGGGACCTCCGCGCGGCCGAGGCGGCGCGGGAGATGGCGTGGGAGCAGCTGCACTCGTCGCCCCGGGCCGAGGTCGGCGCCGCGTGGCGGGACGCCTACGCGCTCGCCTGCCTCCACGTCGCCGGCCTCCGCGCCGCCGCCGGCGACCGCCGCGCCGCGCTCCGGGCGCTCGACATGGGACTCATCATGGGCGGGGGCCTCCTCCGCGCCGAGCTCGACGACGCCATCGCGGGGCTCGGCCGCGGCGAGGCGGGCGCGGTCCCGGTCGCCGATGGGGATGTGCAGAGGTGGGAGGAAGGGATCGCGGGGGGCCGAGACCTTGACGATGTGAGTATATCAGTCGCCTGTCGCTGTGCTACGATCTCGCATCCGCTTCTGTTGATTGCGTTATGCAAATGTAGTGCTTCGTACAGTCATTTCAGTTTTCACCAACGGCGTTATTGGTTTGGATTGTTCTGTTTCTGTACGAAGTGGTTTAGTAGTTTCATCATGCAGTATTCTCAGCTCATTTTCGTTACCAAAATACTAAAATGTGCGACATGTACGCTTATTTTAGGACGGAGGGAGTAGTTGGTTTTTATGTGTGAAGACAGTATATCAGGTCCATAATGCTGTGCTATCATGCCTTCCTAGGTCCATACTAACTTTGATTGGTCTTACAGGTGCCTCAGTTGATGTAAGCAGACTATTTATTTGTAGAGGTGCGGAATATTCCAGTACTTTCCAGTAGGAATGCTGGGTTAGTTTTCTGCATTTGGCCGTCACTTGGTAGAGAAAAGTTTGAGGACTTTCGATCAACTTGGGTTAAGTAATTTAGAATCTGAAATTCAAGTAGGATGTACTAGATTTTTTTTCAGGTTTAGTTGTTTACAGTCTGAAATTCAAGTAGGATATACTTGATTTGTTTGGGGGTCAAGGTAAAAAATGTTTGTTTAACTACTTTAGTGCTTGATTTGCTTATTTTTGGTGTTCCATCCTAAGTTACCATTACTCAAAGTCATGGTTTACCATATGCTTGATTCTTTTTGAGGAAAACTATCCACTAAATTTCTCCGTTGTGTGACCAAGTTTGACCAAGATAGTGTACAAATGGTGAATTTAATTTGCCATATCTGCACTACATTACTGATTTATCAATTTGCCGCTTTTAATGATAGGTACTCAAACTTCTACCAGTGAATTCCCTATCTTGTAAGCAAATTAAGAGGCGATCATGCATTTCTTTGGAGGCATTTATACGTGATTACTTTTTATGTGAGTCCCCTGTTATACTCAGTGGATGCATTGAGCATTGGCCTGCAAGGACAAAGTGGAAGGACATAAAGTACCTACAGAGTATAGCTGGAGATCGGACTATTCCTGTTCAGGTGACTACTTGCACTTGTAGACATTAAGAACTGACATGTAAAATTGCAAATAAATTATGGTTTTATTTGGGGAAAAGGCATAGTAACACTTCATCCAACAAGTGCATCGATTCAATAATTTGGCCAGTTGCCATTAAGTACTCAAGCTTATTTTTCAGGAGTTAAGTTCCGTTGTTTCAGGAATAATCGAAATATTGTAGAGTCTCTTTGTTCCATAATTTATCCTTTGTATTATTATGCTACCTAAGTTAACTACTGAAGATGTAAATTTGAGTTGCACAACATATATTAGTTTCAAATTCCAGGTTGGAAAACCAACTTCGGAGTTGCTAGGACACTAAAGACCCTGAACTCTTCGAACTAGATCTAAAATTTATTACATTTGGAAAATCAAATAATTACATCTGGGGATCTGCATCACGCGCTCCATTAGTTAACTTATGCTGTCATAATTGACGGCATGAGCAGAACGTTCTTTTTAACTGGTGGCCCGTTTTCTTTTTCATATGTTAATCATAACTTCTGACACCATGCTTCTGCTTATAGAATTTCCTTTACCATCTGGTATGAGAAGTATTAATAAGTGACAAGTATAGAACCAAATTCTTCAATGGCTCATCATTAAAAGTTGCCTAACTAACATTTGGATTACACATTTGCCTTACCCAATCATCTGCATTAGATTTCTAGTATTCATGCAGTTTAAAAAAATGTGTGGCCTTTGTTATCCATAGATAACAAATCCTGTCCATAAGCAATTGCTGCTCCTCTTAGGCCTGGGCTGTAGCTTCTTTTTGGTTAAGCTAGGTCTGCTTTCTGGTTGAGTATAATGTCAGCAATACTTCAAGGTACTTCAACATTTGGTGATACATGGTCCAAGTGCGCTCATAACAAATGGTGCCACAGGTTGGAAAAAATTATGCATGTGCTGAGTTGAAACAGGAGCTTATCACATTTTCTCAATTTCTTGAGAGGATGTGGTCAAGTGATTCTGCAAACTTGGCATGTGTAGCGCAGCATCAATTGTTTGACCAGGTGAGAAAATTTATGTAGCAACCAAACCCATGCATCTACTGACTTAGCAGTTTACCAAACATTTGGATTTGATTTGTAACATTTGACAGATAAAGGAGCTCCACAAAGACATTACTGTTCCTGAGTACTGTTTAGCTGGTGGTGGCAAACTCCAGTCACTTAATGCTTGGTTCGGCCCTCATGGGACAATAACTCCATTGCATCATGACCCACATCACAACCTTTTTGCTCAGGTATGACACAAACAATGTCTATGTTAAAACCCTGTTTGTTCATCTCTATATTCTTGACTTATGTGTGTTGGTTACCATGGATAATTGAATGTGCGATGTTTAAGAAGTTGACCATTTTATTTATTGCATCAGTAATCATGCCCTGCCACTATTTTCTTTTTATTATTTCTAGTGTGATATGATGGTTTGTTTCTCTGGCCACAATTCTAGCAACCGTGTTGCTTCATTGCTTGCCATTTTTTTCTGCTTTCAGCAGGCTTTCTAGTGAAGTCTTACAGAAACTATTGTTCTTATTTCTATTGTTGAAATTAAAATCAGCAAGCTTCCTATACAAACAACAGGCCGCAGACAAACATGTTTGAACCCTTCCTATAATTTCACTAGGAGAAGGACATCTTGTGTTTGTTTCCTTTTATCAAAGGCAAGTTACTTTCAGGCCACCAACCCCTGTAACTGAGGGAAAAGGCCATTTACTCGGTTTGACTTTGAAAAACTAATTTACATATTCAACAAGACAAACTCCTGTGCTGTTGGAATATCTGGAAACATAAGCATGAATGCATGACGTTGTGTTCTTGTGGTGAAAACCCGTCCTTGAGCCACCTACAATTAGCCTGCTGCGAAGACACTCATCTCTGAAGCCACCGACTCCTTTGAGAAGAAGCAGACATTGCTTCAATTTGATGACACCTATTTTCCCCAATGTGAACTAATCTCGTGAGTACATTGTAAAACATAATTGATGGTTGACCAGAATATGTTTCTTGCTGGCCCAGTGCAATGGATTCTAAGGGGAGCCCTCACTCCCCTCCCAGTGAACGTCTAAAAGGAAATTTGACCTTGGGAAACAACCTTCTTGATCATTATGATTAAGAAGAAACCTCAACAACACGGACCGAGAAACCCCCCAAACCTTGGCTTCACCTTGTAGGGCCGCATTGACCTGGGCCGACCACGACCTTTTGGGCTACTAACCACTGCAACTACCTTGTGGTAGTAGAGCCCAAACCAACCACGAGTGCACAGGCCGGCGCCCTGCCACTATTTTTTGGGTTGGGTTGCCAGCGAGGAACTTTTTCCCCCCAGGATTTGAACCCTGGCCGGTGTCTCCCTCAACTGGGGAGGTTACCACTACACTACAAGAGTGTTGACATGAATGTATAAAAAGAAAAGACAAACTGACTGCATGATTGCTGTTGGCTTGTTGCTTGTTGCTACGCTACATCAAACCGCATTTTCCTCAATAGTGATGAAACCGTCTTACCAATTATTTGAATGCCCATGGATTTTTGTCCTTGCATTATTCATGTTCTTAGCAAATCATGTTTTGGCGCTTGTTCAAGTATGACTTGTATAAAAAAGATCAGCATGTTTGCGCCTACTTTTAGTAGGTTATGATGAACTGAAACCAAAGATATTCATAACCTACAGTAAGTTACATGGAACTATAAACGCTCTTTGTTCCTTTAGGGCCCGTTCGGTTATCTCTGTTCCTGGCCGTTCTTGGCCGGAACAGTTCCGACGCTATTCAAATTATTGAAGGAAACCCGGACAGGAATCGTTCCCATCCTCGACCGAACGAGGCCTTAGTTATTTGAATTTACACTGATTGGTAACTAGTTCGGAGTGCTGAGAGTGACATAGTTTGTGTAGATTAAGATTTCTCAGTTAGTTGATGTATCTGGTTGTTACTCCTTGGCAGGTTTTGGGAAGGAAATATGTTAGACTCTATCCTGCTTCTGTATCCGTGGGTCTATACCCTAACACAGAAAGCATGCTAAGCAATGCTAGCCAGGTGAGCAGTCTGTTTAGATCAATGATGCCCGCATGCACAAGTGACATTAGTGTAAAAACTTGATTGGATACCCTAAAGCTGTCACCTTACCTTACTGTCCATAACTATTTTGTTGCCTTATTTTAAATATTTCTGAACCTGTTCCAAATATATTACCTTACATAATCTCAACCTTGATGTGGAGATTCTGTAAATGTGCTATTTTTTCTAATGATTCTAGTAACAAAGAACCATGACAGTCAAAGTGAGGTAAGTAGCCTGTTTTAAACAAGCACTATATATATAGAATGATTCTTGCATGCCTTGATATCAATGATTCTTGCATGCTAAAAACATGACTGCAAAATTTTGATTGGATACCCAAAAAACTACGAGCAGTTTACCTTGTTATCCATAATCATATTGTGTTGCCTGAAGTTGTTCCAAACATGCTACATGACAGTGAGATTCTAAAAATAGAGTCAGTCTTTATTAAAAAAAACAATTCTGGGAATAAAGTGAATATACCAACTGCCATGACTATTTGATGGTGCTAGATTTTCTTCTGGACACCCTGGTCAACCTATCTTTATTGGAACCCTCACGTTCAACTTTGCTTAGTTACAATCCAAATCCATTCATAGTGTTGTGATCCTGAAGCTCTGCACCGCCCAATAAGGTTAATTGAGTTCTATTGCAAACAAAATTGAGCTACATGTGATTTGGTTCCTCTAATCTGTCTTAACAGGTAGATCTTGACAACATTGATGAAAAAGAGCACCCGAAGACTGCAGCTCTTGAATTCATGGATTGCATATTGGAGGAAGGTGACCTGCTTTACATTCCCCCAAAATGGTGGCATTACGTGAGATCTCTTTCTATTAGCTTTTCTGTTAGCTTTTGGTGGCGAACGTCAGATCTTCCTTCAAGAAGTTCATAATGCTATTGTTTTGACAATTTTGATCATCCATGATGTTTCTATCATCAGATTGGTAGAGACTTAATAAAACTCTATTGAGCCCATGTTTCGTGGTCTACTGTTGTGTTTGTTGGCCTCACTACATTGGGTTTGCACATTGTTTTCACGACAATGATTTAAACTGTTGACTTCAAACATACTAAGTCACTATCAGGTACAATTGTGTTCGTTTTTCTGTGAACTGATTCTACCATATGGCCTAGCTGTGTAACTGTTCGCTGATTGATACTTTTCTTTTTTCTGAGTCAAAGGGTTCGCTAGTAGTGCTTAATCTGTCATTTCTGTACATTTGAGAAATAGGGAGCATGTTCAATTGTAACTTGAGAGCCAGCATGCTAGGATTGGCTTTACCCCCTGTGAGATAAGCCAGCCAGAATAATGCTGGTTTGGTAACTTTTGCTCAATTATTCTGAATGCATCTGATGTCTGCTCTTTCATGCTCCTTCATGCCTTTCAGATGAAAATAACTCAGATCAGATCATTTGTTTTACTTGGCTGCAGATTTAACTTTTGTAACTACTGATGCTAAAGCACTAACTGCTAACCGAACTGTCCATATTAAGTACTCAGACCATTTTCTACCTACTAATGAAATGACACGCAACTTTCTTACATGTTCGAGAAAAAAATATTAATTACTTAAAACCAAGGCAATGTACAATCATATGTGACTCAAAACAGCTGAAAGGTAGAAGGGAAATAAATGCTTCACGTACGGAGTATACAGCCCTTCTGTGTAATTTTATTGTAACAAAGTGACTCGAACCTTTTTCATAAGTGGTCAACCACTCGAGTGACATGAGCCTTTTAAGGAGTTACACAAATGGGTTATATGAATTTTGCTTACCTGCCTCATGCCTTAATTGTCCTTAAGCAGAGGATTGTAGAGCTTGTATTTGTTTTTCGATTTCTAATGTTTTTTATGCGTGCTGGTATATGTATAAGACACTCACAGTACTTTACCATCAGCATATCAAATGGTTCATACTAACTAGATGCCTGCTCAATTATGAATTAGAGGGATCGGATCACTTGGTTGTAATCAGCAGATCTTGTATATTTCAGATATACAAGATAAAGTGTTTTTCTACATTTGAGGATGTAGAAGAGCTGAGATACATTAGCTTGCATAATGTGTGGTAAAAGGGGGCCTTAAAGCAGTACGAGTCTACAAGACTGAGCAACTGTCATGAACGAAAGGGCACCAAAGAATCATTGCCCTGATTTCTTGCGTTTTCAACTTTGCCTCATTTAGAGTTGTTTTGATGACGTCATGGCATGACTGATAACTTTTGGGATTTTAAATTTCATAAATGGCTTTAAAATCAGGGAGAAGTAGTTTTCTGGCCATGCAACTATTGTCCGAGTTGGCTGCGTGACTCACGAAAATGAAAGGTTATAATGATTCTTCGACCACTGAACAATTGAAGTGTAAATATAGGATAACTTGGTCGTCTAGGTGACCTGGTTTGTGTTTTCTAAATTAATAAAATATATTTTACTTTGGTCTTTGAAAAAAGTATGTTTTACACTTTAGAGCATCATAATTTTCGATGGGGAATTAAGTAAAGAATATCAAGAAATAAGAAAAAGGATGCCATCGATTTGTATACCATCTAAACTATAGACGAGGTAAGATAAAAGGTGTATGAAATAGCTGAACACATGAGAGCCAAAAGTTAACTAGAGCGATATAGCGAATTAGGAGGGCAATGAGATGAGAACGATTCATAAACGACACATGAGAGCCAAATGTAACTAGAGCGATATAGCGAATTAGGAGGACAATGAGATAGGAACGATTCATAAACGATCTTTTTTAGGAGCTAAACAAAATAAATCTAATCTAGCTAAGACTGATTAGGCAAGATAAAAGGTGTATGAAAAAGCTAACACACAGGAGAGCCAAAAGGTAACTACAACTGTATAACGAATTAGGAGGACAATGAGACGAGAACGATTCATAAACGGTTTTTTGTTAGGAGCTAAGCAAAATTAATATAAATCTAGCTACAACCATATAACGAATTAGGAGGACAATGAGAAATCATTGCTTTGTGGCTGCATGGAAAAACTAGGTACATGGGATGGAGAGACCTACCTGAGCGCACTAATAAGAACCATACGAGCTACACGAATATGGTGGAATGCAATGGATAGATAGGGATGTCACCGCCTGTGTAACACCTCAAAATTTGCCTCTTTTGAAAATAGGTTTAAAATGATTTATTTCCGAATTTTGTGCTTATAAAATATACGAAAATAAATTTTTTCATTAACTTAAAATTCATCATAAGGATTAGCAACATGTTTGAGCATATATGCCCTTGCATTTGATTTATTTGGTTGAGTTGTTGAAAATTTAAAATGATTTGAATTGCGTTTGGAAAGAAATTAAAAATGGCTTCAAAGTAAAAGAAAAGAAAGAAAAGAGAATTAGAAAATAAAAGAATTTAAAAAATTGTAAAATTTATTTTTGAAAACTTATCAAAATTTCTCATCTATGTTTGAATTGAAAAGGGTATTTGAAATCCTATTCAAATCGGAGTTGGTTTACATTGAATTTGGTTTTTAAAACAAATTAGAAAAAGATTTGGTAAATAAAAGGGAAACCCTCTCTCCTCCTCTCCCTCCCTTTTGGCCTGTTGGCCCAGTTTGTTTTTTTTTCTGCTGGCCTGTTCTCCTCTCCCACTTTCTTCATCGCGCGGCCCAGCCAAAGGCCAGCAGCCCATCCCTCTTTTCCCCGCCTTGGCTTCGGCCCACTCCTGCGCGCCGGTCCATCTCTTCCTCCCCACGACCTAGCGTCACCCGCCCCTCTTCGCTCGTGGGCCGGCCCAACCGAAGCTGCCGCGCCGTGCGTCCCCTTTCCTCTCTCTGGCCGACATCCTGGCCCCGCTTGTCAGGGCGTCTTCTTCCCCGCCGTGCCCAACCCAGACTCCGCCGCCGCCGCCAACAGAGTCCGTGCTCGCCCCGTCCCGCGTCGCTGCCGTGCACGCCAAGCAGCCCGGCCCCATATAAGCCGAGCCTCACCTTGCGCCGCCTCCATATCCCGCACCCACGCTGCAGCCGCATCGCCTCGAGCCAACCGCAGCAGCCGCAACCTTGGCGACGCCGCTGCTGAGCTTGATTTCGCCGTGCCGCCGCTTCACCATGACCGTAAGCCATCTTTTGAGCTTCATGACGAGTTTGCGAAGCCGTCGAGGTCTTTTTCCCTCTTTCTTTTGCTTTCGGTCGCTTGTCTCTCGTCGCCGACGATTGCTGGAGCTCCGACGCCGCTGTTTCGAGCCGCCAGCCATCTCCGTCCGCTCCTAGCCACTAAAAACCACCGTGGTGAGTTACCCATCTTCCCCTCTTGCTCTCCGTTCAAATTCTGATCCTAACCGAGGTCTTTAGGGCTGGTTTTGTGTCTCTCCGGCGAGGAAAGTCGCCGGCGGCCATGTCTTCAGCCGCACCGGTCACTGTAGCTGGCCGGCAGCCTCCTCTTTCTCCCCCTCTGTTCTAATATGAGCTATCCATCTTGAATTCAATGGCTTAGATTAGCCTGTACCTTTTTGGCTGATACTTTTGCGAAAGAGCCCCTGTGTATTTTAATATCGAACCCACGGTCCAAAGTGTAGTTACAGATTTCGTTTTCTTCTTTTGAAAGCGTACTTTGCTTCGGTTAGATTGAAAATACGTTTTCAGCTATTCATAGTTTTACCACTAGATTTGTTTAGGCCATAACTTTTCCGTTTTAACTCCGATTTGATCCGTTCAAATTACATTAGGTTCGTAATTCATAATCTATATGTTCATACTACTATTAGATATGTTTTCAATTTTTAAAATTCGAGGTTAGATTTAATCTAATATTTTAATAAAGGAAATCTTGTTTATTTCATATCTTCTATGTTTTAGCTCTGAATTAATCCGTTCAAGTTGTGCTAGATTCATTACAACGAGATCTATGTGTTAGTGACAATGTTTATCATGTCACTAATATTGGAATTTTATGGTTTAACTTCTAATTTGGATAATAATTATGCAACTAGATTTTATAAATAAAACATGATTTGTTTTACTTTAGTTTTATAATTCGAATCTAAATTTGACTTAATTTAATTTATATAAGCTTTTATACAGTTAAAATAAATGAAGCTTATAGTTTTCTTTTCTGCGTATAAAGCAAATCTATTGGTAGATGTATCTTTTTCACCGAAGCTCCGATTAGAGTGTTTTTCGTGTCTATGTGTTCATAGCGAGACGTAGATTTATTTTACAAATTTTTTATCTTGATTTTATGTTTGGTGTACTGTTCTAATTTAGATATATTGTTTGTTTCGTGTATGATTGCATGGATGCTTGTATGGTGCTTTATGATCTTGTCCAGTCGGTGAGATATACGTGGTGATCAAGAAAAAGAAGAAGAACGTTGAAGATTAAAGCTTACCGAAGGATCGGTGTTTAAGGCAAGTATAGCATAGGATCTTTTTTGTTGTTCTATACACCTTTAATCATTTAATTCATACTGTATGTGTCTACCTTGACTACCACTAAGGATTTTCTAGTACTTTGTGACCCTGTACCTTGATACCTTTGGGTTATTGCATTGGGTAGTATGATGTTAGTGCTCAACTACAACCATGATCTTGTAACTTGACTAATGATATATGAAATAAACACTAAAAGATGTTTTTAGCAACATGGAACAAGGGGGCTAGAGCATTGGACTGTTTTTATGGTGCTCTAGATTCGTCTCCCTAAGGACTTATCTGTAAGTGATTTATCTGGGACTTACAGTACAGCTATGAGGGCTATATGGCTCTGGCTTTAGCTCAGTATAAGGACCTTTTCTAGCTTGTTAGAGGTTACCTTTATAGGCGTAAAAATGGCTTGCCGAATCGGGTATAGGACAACCTCTGTCCCCTTGTGTATAGGCTACGTGTCATTGTGCCATCGGAAAGGGGGGTTTCTACATCTGTTTGCCGAGTGAATCTAATGGCCCTAACTTGTTAGACAAACCTTTGAAAGGCTTCATAGTGAACC